GGCCGGGGCCCGCGGCGGGCACGGGCTCATCCTGCGTCTTCGCGCACCGCAGGCGCGCCTGGCCGGCCCGGCTCCTCCCGGTTAGGCGGGAAAAGAGATCGGGGTTTTGGGGTCACTCGTGGCCCCCAGACCCCACGGGAAGCCTGCACAGACGGCTTCCGTCCACTAGGTGGGGTCACCGGAAAGACTAGGCCAGGCCGCCCAGGAAGAGGAAGGAACGCGGTGGCAGCGGGGCTTGGGACGGGCGCAGCAGGGCCAGCGAACCCGGGTCCTTCGTGGGGGTGAGGCCAGTGCGGAGCAAAAGTCCCTGGATGGGGAGGAAGACGGGGTGGGGCGTCCATGGGCCGGGAGGAAAGGGACCTTAAGTAAAGGGCGCTCTTTGACTCCTGCGAGCCCAGACCGTGGAGGTTACTGGCAAACCATGTGGAAAAAAATGTACAACTATTTTTTTAAATTTATACGTGTGCATCTATTTACATACTTGTGCATGTAACCTGTTGCTACTTTTGCTTTTAAAAAATCCTTAAAGGCCCGAAGAAGAGCTAGAGGCCATTCAAGGGGCCCCTTAAAGCAAAATGTATCACTGTCTTCCTAAATGTGTTTTATGAATGTTTTCACCCAGGCTTTGGGTGTGAATTGTAAAATGTAAGTAGCCTAGTAAAACTGCACTGAAAGCCACCTGGTTGCACCAGATATTAGGAGTACATTGGAGGGGCCTGGGGATTTAGCTCGACAGCACAACGCCTGCCTGACAAGCACAGCGTCGTGAGTTCGATTCCCGGTGCCGGAAACAAAACAAAACAAAACAAAAATACATTGGAAGCATTTCAAGAATCAGTATTAGATACAGCAGAAGAGCAGAAACTGGTCATGTTCAATAAGAATTTCTGTAGATGTATCATAATGGGTGAAGTAAGTTTTTATTAAACATGTAAAAAAAAGTTTCTCTAAATGGAAATAGTTTGAATACATGCATGAAACAGGCAAAATTTGTTTCATTTGTTCATTTTTTCAATAAAAATTTTGAGCACCTGTCTTTTGCCAGGCAGTAGCTAGGTATGGCTAAAAAATCCCTGTCCTCAAGGAGCTTTTGTTCTAGGAAAAGAGAAATAAGGAATAGGTCTAGTGCGGCAAAATTAGCACTTATGTCACCATGAGGAACACTGGAATATAAACAGGGAACAGTTAGAGCCTAGAGAAAAAGCACAATGCATGTAGCTTCAGAGATTTGGAAACAGTATTGTTAGGTCTATGTCTAGATGTCCCCCCAAGCCTCATGTGCTCATAGGTGGGGATTTGGGAAGGAGACTGGATCGTGGGGGTGTGATACTCCTCAGTGCATTAGTGATGACTTTATTGCCTAGTAGGATGTTGGGAAGTGCGGCCTGGTAAGAGGAGTTGGGTCACTGGGGTCTGCCTGGCAGGGAATTTTTCCTTCCCTCCTCCCTTGATAGCTCTTTCGCACTCTAGCTGTCTGCTTCCTGTTGGCAGGCCAGGAGCTGTTTCTCTTCTGCCATGCGACCTTGTACTGCCTCAGAGCCGGTGGACTATGAACTGAATTTTGTACAACTATAAGCCACAAAAAAAAAACTCTCCTTTAATTTGCAGATGTTGGGTATCGTGCCTCAGCGATAAGAAAGTAACTAAGACAAGTGCCAAGGTCTAGTCATTCAGATAGTTAGACTCTTTTTAAAAAAATCAACAAATGGTAGCTATGATTTACATATACCTGTAAAAGAGGACCTCCAGGGCTGGGGATTTTGCTCAGCAGCAAAGAGCCTGCCTGGCAAGCGCAAGGTCGTGAGTTCGGTTCCCGGTACCAGAAAAAAAAAAAAAAAAAAAAAAAAAAAAAAAAAAAAAAAGAAAAAAAAAAAAAGAGGACCTCCAAAGAACAAGAATTTACAGGTGACTTTATCCAGAACTTTCTAAAGAATAGAAATAAATTTTGTTACCCACAAATATCCCCCTGTGTTGCCTCTTCTAGCTCTGGTACAGACTTCATGAGCAGTATTTCATGAGGAAGCAAAACTTCTAGAAAGTTGGTGACAGGAAGAAGGTCCTAATGACTTTAGTTACTGTGAATCAATCCCTAATAATGTGCTCAACAATATATAGATTCACTGTCAAAATCATATTTGTGTAATTAGGGTTGAGACTAAAGATTGTGAACCAAAGGAAAAACAATTTCGTGGACAGTGAAACCATTTTTCATTTAAAAATGGAAAAAATTGGAAAAGTTTTGAGTTGTAGGGAATTTACTGAAAATTTTACCAGAAGAAATAAAAAACTTGAGTTTTATAGTCTCATAGTTTTAAAACCCATCTGCTGAATCATATATTTAATTGAGATAATTGCATCATTAAAATTAGCTACTGTTTATTGGTTATATCTTCTCAAATTAATAGTCCTGCTTATACCAAATTTTTGTGTGAATTAATTCCATTATTTCTGCGACAAGGTTGATTCTATAAAATAGCTTCTTGTGTTTTACATATACCTTAGTCTCAATCTTAATTGAAAATGCTATCAAATTTCTACATCACCTGCCTGTATCTTTGACTGAATTTGGATGAATACTACATCCAAGGATAGGTTTATATCTTGTCAACACCAGCAACCATTAAGTGATAGTATGTCCATATTAAATTTTTCATTAAGTAAATCTCATTGTCTGTGACTCACAGGATATTTGTGGTTTGTGCTTCATTTCCTCATTTATTTATTGTTAGTTGAGAAATTAATAGGAATGGTGTTCATAACAAATAACATTAGTTCTCATTCTAAAACATTTTTAAATATGAATTTGTTCATGCTTAATATGTTAAGAGTCCTCAGAGGCTGATACAGATTTATACATTTTCAAGTACTACTATCAGCACTTTCAGACCTAAAGAAATTATACAGTCCTCATTTGTGAAAATCCTATTTCAAAAGAAGAAATCACAAATGTATCCCATCCATATGTGTTCTTTCAGAATTTGTTTTCAACTGAATGAAGTATCTTGGTGATTCTGTCCATCATAATATGACAACTGTTTATTATAATTACTGGAAAGTCACTCAAAAACATGCCCACCTGCAGTGTGCTGTCTATAAAGATTACAACATTTTAATTCATTATAGAGATAGACATAGGGAGTACATAAATGAGTTTAATCTTATATAAAGCTCAGGCCTTTATAGGAAGAAAAATACACAAATGATTATCCACAAAGTAGAGTAAATTCTTTCAACAAGTCAGTCAAAGTTCTGGTTAAGAACAAGGTATGTTTTCAGTTGACCTAAAATTAATATAGAACCAGAAGAGATCCACAATAGCCAAAGCAATCCTGCGCAAGAGAAAAGCGGGAGGCATCACAATCCCTGAATGCAAATTATACTACAAAGCTATGGTGGTTTAAAAAACAAGCAACAACAACAAGAAGAAGAGAACAATAGTACTGGCATAAAAACAGACATGGATCAAGGAACAGAACTCAAGATGTAGAAACAGCTTCAGGCACATTCAGGTATCTGATCTTTGATAACAGTGCCAAAAAACATGCAGCAGGAATGACAGCCACTTTAAC